AAGATACTTTTAACCCGTAACAGATACAGTGTCTTTTTAGTCAAGCTACAGGTACAGTGGGGTCCAGCGAACCCCAATAAATTTTTGCCATTTTTAACATAATAATAAAAGGTAGAAAGAAAAACGCTTTATAGTTCAAAAATAATACTTTACGAATGTTTTATTACAGCTAGACATGTATAATAACAATCTCAGTTTTTCAGTAATCTAAAAGAAAACGTTAACTGATTATAAAATGAACACAATGTGGACAGTGTTGAAATAAAATACATTGAAAGACAAATAATCGGAAAAAAAATTTATGTTTTAATCTAAATCCACAAATTATAGATTATATAAAAAATATAAACAAGTATTGTTAAATTAAATACAATATTAAAATCTTACAGGGTTTTTAGATGCAATCGTTACAGATAGTGCTTGCACACTTGGTGCATACTGGTTTATTGCATCTAACATATACTTCTTTGGACTTCATATCTTTATTTCTAGGACATTTATTATATCTTACTCTGAATGGCAAAATAATTTTAGATCTTTCAGTTTCTTCAATTTTTAAAATAGATGAAATTATTAAACATAATGGCTTATGAATATATTGAGTTGTAAGACGCCTCTTAAGTTCAGGTTCTACTACTGAAAGAGCTTTTACTCTTTTGCATGAAGAATGAGTCATATTGAGCTAAAGATTAAGAAAATTATTTTCATAAAAGTAACCTTAACGGTACAGCTCTTATAGAAATATCATACTAAGAATTATTGATAATTACTTATTATCCAGTATTTTTAATATCGAAAATAAGTAATTATCAATGATTCTTAGTATGATATTTCTATAAGGGAGTGGCGTCATTGTGACCTCCTGACGAAAAACAAATGCATATAATTCGTAGCTACTTACAAATAACTCGATGATCTTTTCTTATGTCACACTGAAAACTGTTACTCGAAAGGTACTGAAAATATTAGCGCCATATAGTGGATAGTTTAGGAATTATCACGAAAGTAAAATTAGTTTGGGTCCCTGGGACCCCACTGTACCTGTTACCGGTTAATAATAGAGCATAATTTATTTAGATTTATAAAATGATTTATTTATATTTCATTTATTTTTAAAACAAGCAAATATTTATTTAAACATAGCTTTTAAATTAAAAAAAAAACTAATTTTCTTCTTGGAAGGAAATCATTTGTTTATTTTTATATATGGGTATTTTAAATCAAAGGAATTACGTTTTTTATCTAGAAACTCATAATTTTACAGCTCATTTTACAAATTTAAAAAATATTACTTTATATTTGTTACATGTTTTGTAAACTCAAACAAATACTTCTTTAAGTTAAGAAATTAAATTTAACAAAATATATTTCTTTAATTTAACGAATTTTTTTAGTGCAGACACATCAAACATATTATTTTAATATTTTTTAATTAAATTGTAAAGGCGTTATATTTCACTATTACAATAAAAAAATTATGTTACACGAGTTACCCACAATTCACGTGCAACGTATATTATGAAATCTCAGCAATGGTAAACAAATTTTCGAAGTACAATTTAAATTGAATTAAATACATTTTTTTTCAGTGTGTGATCATTATTTACAACGCAAGTGTCGATAGTTACATAGTAATTTCTTAAGAGTTAAGAATAATTTATTTAATAACAAAAACATTTGCTTTTTTATAAAAAAAAACTAATTTTTCTTTGTTTTAGTAAATTTTTTTCTTATATTTATATTTGTATTTATATTTGTATTTTTATTTATATTTGTATCTCAGATTTGACTGATCATTTGACAGTCATTAATAATATTAGATTAATAGTTATTAATAATATGAAAGATATGACGCATAGCCTTTCACATATTTTTGTTAATTTACTTAAATAAAAAAATGTTATTTGTAAGAAAAAAATATTTTTCAAAATTTGGAAAACGAATTATTTACTCGAATAACGTAATTGTTTTCGTTAAATATAGACACTGAGAAAAAATTTTCTTAAATTTAATAAATGTATTTAAATAAAATGAAATTAGCACTATTTATTTAAATAACATTTTAAATATAAGACCTTGTTTATTTTTAGCAAATTAAAGCATTAAAATTACCAAAAGATTTCTTGTTGAAAGGTTTGCTTTAATAAAACATACATATATTATATTGCAACATAAGTTATGCTAAAATGTAATAAATAAATTGTTTAAATGAGTCTGAATTTCTTAACTGTGAAAAAGGAAATTTTAGTAAACACTTGTCTAAATTAGAGCTTTTAAAATTTTAAAGATAATAAATGGTTTGTTTAAAATAAAATATATTTTTTTTAGAGTTTATTATATTTAAAGAAACGTATATTTGAATAAAATTTATATATTACCTTCATTTAAATAAAGGTTTCCTTAAATATAATAAATGACACTTAAAAAATAATGTTTTTTTTTATTTAATTCGTGTAAAAAATATTTTTTTAACTTTTCATTTATTATTTGTAAAACTCTGAAAAGTAAAATCGAAACAAATATTTACTAATACATCATTTTTAGATTTATGAAATTCGTATTTAGTATTTTAAGAATCCATTTCCTACATTTCAACAAACCTGCATTGCATTTTAGAAAACCTGTGTTTAATTCAAGTAAACAGTTCAACAAAATGTTACTTGCTAATTTTAATACTTCCATTTTCTTTAATTAAACAAGAAGGTTTTACATTCAAAGTATTATTTAATTAAATAAAGTTAATCAAATTTAAGCTAATGTATTTATTATAATTAAAAAAATTTTCTTCAGTGTGCGGGGTATAATGGGATACTTTACAAAACTTGCTTATTTTTCAAAAATTAATGTTCAAAATTGCTTAAAAGTGACTTGGAACACATAATATAAGTAGGAATACAATATTGCATTTCTAAAAATTTTTTATTAATAATACTTTTCTTGTTACAATACATGTGTATATTTCTGTCATTAAAATATAAATAAAAATTGAAGTTTCGTGTAATATCTGTGATTAATATTTGGTATAAAATTTGCAAAACAACATATATATTTATAGTATGAAGAGAAAAAATAAAATCTTAAGAACATAACGCACAAATTAGTACCCGTTATGCCTCGAAGTATATAAGTTTATTGGAAATAATATAAAACATCATAGACAAATCGATATTTGCACAGATTCTTTACTAAAGTGACAAGAAAAGGTCATTGTTTAATAATTTAAATGGAATTACAATAATAAAAAACAGAATTTTATTATTACTTACTTTATGCAAGTGTTTAAGAAAAACTGCAACTCGCGGAAAACACAGTGACTCTCACAGCACATTAATATTGTCATAAGGTTACAACAATCTTAAATTGTAAGATGGTAACATTACACGGAGGCTAATAAACCTGTCACTAACCTTAATCAAATTTAAGCTAACCCTTAACCAATAACATAAAAATGTTCGTCCATGCTCATTCCATTAAAATTACATAAACCTTATACGGGACGATATATTACAGTTAATATAATATGTCTAGAACCTTTCAATATTTTTAATAAGAAATTCTTGATAAAGAAATATTATTTATATTCAGCTTAGTCAAATTATATTGATTTTAAATGAAACTTTTATTTGATTTCCTACTATTTTCACACCTGAAAATTTACTCAGTACTAGTCGGACGCGAACTCGAGACCTCAAATACCTCTAGGTTCCTAGTTTATCATCTTGGCTGCTGCGCTATTTCTTCAACTGATACTAAGCGTTTTTTATTATCCCCATATGCAGTAATTATAATTTTCTTATAATATTATTTAATACAACTACAATTAATAAATTATGTAGTCCAAATATTTCATATAATAAAAGAAAAGTCAGGGATATACATAAAACTAAAGCATTTGAAACGGCTATTGAATAGAACCTAGACTTAATTTTATTATTAATATTTTAATTTAATTTAATTGTATTTGCTTTCTTAATAAAAAAATTTTTATATATGAAAAAAGTTGTATATACGATTAGTGATTATTAATAAAATATATTTCAATTGTGTAATATTTTCAAGATACACAGAAAGTGGAATAATTACATGTAAGTTTGCTGAAATATTAAAGATTATATTAATTTTATGACAATATTATAATGTAAGGTTATCTTGCAAGGTTAAGGACAGATTGCAGTAACGTGCTCATTAAAATATGTAAGCTTATAACTTACCCATAACCTTACTGCAATGTTTGGTGCTGTGAGGAGAGCGCATTAAACAATTTTTAATAACTTTCAGCTAAAATTAATATAACAACTTATAACAGCATACGGCAAGATATAATTAACAGTAATTATTGCATAATATTTTATTACATGATAGCATCTTTGTAAAAAGATATCAACTATTGTATATCCCATTATATCTCATGGATCCATTATGCCCCAGGTTCCCCTATATAGATAATAAACACATAGTTTTCGTAGACAGATAGTTCAAGATTTTTCTAATGTATGCTGCAATAATACTTAAAACAATATTAAAGTACGGTTTATTAAAATAATATTAAGTTTATCACGCATTATAATATATTGTATTTCCAAGTATTATTAAATCGCAGTACATTATAATAATACATTATGTATTATTAAAATATTTAACCCACTCTTGTGTAAATATTAAGTTTTTTGTGTCTCTAAGAAAATACAATAACAAAAGTACATATGGCGTCTAAATTAAATATCTCTAGACTTTGTTTTAAACTAGACGCTTAACGTCTAACAAACGTCTCTGTCTAGCAGACGTCTATCCGATCTCGTATAGAGATCTTCCCTAGGTACATATATGTATATTAAATAAGGTCTTTGAAATTTTAAGAAATTGTGTTACTCGAGCTTGAGCTTTAATATACATAATGTATGAAAATGTATCTTTTGTTTGCGGTATTGTACATCGCTGATGTCATAGAATTTTTTTTTGGATTGATATTACTCGCATCAGTTTTGTTGATATCCTTTTAGGACAGCTAGTCACATCGGAGATAATTATGGCTAGCGAAAATGGTTGTCCCATAGAATTTTATCGGATCGACGTAGACAAATGCGATCCGGTTTTCGACAAGGAGTGTCAAGGTAACAAGTATATTCCATTTCTGCGAGCGGATTACGATCGTCAAACCGGGCGCAGTCCTAATAGTCCACGGGAGCAGGTAATTCGCAATTTTCTCGAATTGTAGATCCGTTTTCGAGATCACATAATTATTAAAATCGCATTCTCTCATTCGAAACGCTAATACGCGGTTATATCACGCTACTAAGATTCTGAGACGAAATCGTGAGAAATAAGCTTTGTATACGTGAGGTTGCAGATAAATAAAGTGACGAGCTGGATTGATGGTAGTTTCGTCTATTCGAGCAGCGAGGCATGGGCCAACATAATGCGCACTTTCAAAAACGGCAGTCTTCTCATGGAACAAACGAGACAATTTCCCGTGAGAAACACTATGCGCGCGCCTCTCTTCAATCACGCGGTCCCGCATGTTATGCGAATGCTTAGCCCGGAGCGACTATATCGTAAGTAAATAACGTACTTGCGTATGCAAACTTTATTTCAAAATAGACAGATCACTGTTGTAATATATAAACATCTGATATTTAATAATTTCGGACATCACTACGTTGTTCTGTTACTTTGTTTTTATTTTACGTTATTGTTTTTGCACTGAATAATTATTGTATTTAATCATGTCCATATTCTATACCTTTTGTTTTAACTGTTTCTGCAATTAATTTTCCGACTCTTGCAAAAGCATCTGACAATTAATTATATTATATAGTTCTCGGAGACCCAAGAACGAATCAGCATCCACCGTTGTTGACTCTAGGCATTTTGTTTTATCGGTATCACAACGTTGTAGCCGCTCGTGTACAAAAAGAGCATCCTAATATGTCCGATGAGAATGTTTTTCAGAAAGCTCGTCGAATAGTCATTGGAACAATACAGGTGAATTTACGATATATTTACTTCTAGTATATATTTACTTCTGATATATATTACTTCTGGTTGCTTTTTAAATAAATATTCAATAAGTATACTAAATTACTTATTTTTAGTACAAAAAGCATGCGTGAAAGAGAGAGGGAAGGGGGCAAGAGAGAGAGAAAGAGAGAGGAGAAGAATATTCATAATTTTATATAAAATTATGAACAAATATAATAGAAGAATTAGAGAATTAATTGAGAACAATTAATGAGGTCTTAAATACAATCGCTCGTATTACATAATTACAATAAATTTTGCGCGCATGTTGATATTTATATCGATTATTTGTATACAAAATTTGTATACAAAATTTGTCGATCTTACAGAATATTATTCTTTATGAATATCTTCCGGTGTTACTAAATGAGGACCTGCCATCTTACAATGGCTACAAACCAGATTTGCATCCGGGTATAAGCCACATATTTCAAAGCGCCGCTTTTCGTTTCGGTCATACCCTTATACCACCAGGTATTTATCGACGAGATGAAAACTGTAAATACAGAAGGACCAACATGGGTGAACCAGCTATTAGATTATGTTCTACATGGTGGGATTCAAATGTAAGTGCGTTTTATTAATTATTTATTTAAATAAAAAAATACTTTAATTTCTAAAACTACAAGTAAAATTAATTAAAACACAATTAAAATTAAGAGAAATTTAACGTTGAATTTAAAAAGTTAAGAAGAGTTACAACGAATAATGGATTCTCTCTCTAAACTATGAGATTGAAATAAAAGTAAATCTAAATTTTTTCGAGAATCAATCGTAATAATAGACTGCTCGTAGGAGATTTTAGCTAATAGCACGATTGAGGAATTGTTGATGGGCATGGCATCGCAATTAGCGGAAAAAGAGGATAATCTTCTCGGTACCGATATTCGCAACAATTTGTTCGGTCCAATGGAATTCTCGCGTAGAGATCTTGGCGCGCTAAATATCATGCGAGGTCGAGACAATGGTCTGCCAGACTATAACACAGCCAGAGTGCGTTTCAAATTAGCTCGACGGAAAACGTGGAATGAAATCAACCCGGAATTATTCAATAAAAACCCATCGTTACTGCGTACGCTTATTGAAGTTTATTCTAACAATCTCAACAATGTCGATATTTATGTTGGCGGCATGCTTGAATCCAAGGATGGACCCGGTGAACTCTTTACCACAGTCATAAAAGAACAATTTCTTCGTTTGCGGGATTCCGATAGGTTCTGGTTCGAGAATGAAGAAAATGGGTGAGTGAGTTAGCTCCTCTTAATTTCCACAAATATGCCGTATTGCATAAAAATTGTACGTGCGTACGTACATACATGCATGTGTGTGTAGAACGCGAATTTTATTTGAAATAAATTATATGCATATATAAGAATGTATGTATAACTGGTTAAATTGATCGTGCAAATTTTCTCTATTAATTTTTTCGTAACAACTCTGTTTGTTAGTATTTTTACTAGGAACGAGATCAAAGAAATCCGTCGTACCTTACTTTCGGACGTAATCACGAACGCGACCAGTATATCATCTAATGCGATACAGAAGCAAGTGTTCGTTTGGTACAAAGGCGATCCGTGTCCTCAACCTTTCCAATTAAATTCAACGATACTCGAGTCTTGTGTTCCTTTACAGCGCTACGACTATTTTGAGGTAATCACCTGTAATGCATAAATGATTGTCTTTATCTGAGAAAACTGGTGATGGATCATGCATGTCGCATAATGTTGATGTTTTTATCTGTGCTGAAACGTATTCTTTAAGGAAAATAATAATAGCTGCAAAGTGAGCACTTATTGTATAATTTTAAAGAGTTGATAATTGATCTTTTAAATGAAAAGCTAAAAACATGCACGCGCATATATGAAATAATATGTTGTAACACAAGCATAGAACTTCTTTAATATCTCCATTTTTCTTCTTATTAATTTAAAATAATTTTTTTCTTTCTTTAATTGCAATCTTAATTGTGGAATTGATTCAAAACAACCCTAAATTTTACTTTTATTTAAAAATAAAGCTAAAGTTTGCAGCTCTTATACAATATAAAATTCAAAAAGGATATATAGAAAAATTTTCGAAAACTTAACATAGTTTTCTGTGAAAATACATATCATAGGGTAGCGAATTCGTCTACATCTACGTTTGCGTCTTCCTTGGATTCGTACCAATTCTGTGCGCCGGTGCAGGATACGGGCTGGTAAAGTTGCAGAATAGAAGACGGCGAAGATTAAAGATACTTCAAGAGGCAATTCAAAAGCGAAATGATGGTCGCATCTGTGTTGATAAGATGATTGTACGTGAATGGCTGCACGCGAACCATCGTCGTCTCGTAAAAGTGAAATTTGGGCCAGAAGCGGCTTTGCACATCGTCGATCGAAAGGGGGAGAAACTACGTACATTCGACTTTAGCGGTGTTAACACTATAACTATGGAGGTGAGAGAGAGAGGGAGAGAGACGCAAGACGTTTGTATTCTTTATAATTATAAATAAAAACATTAGTTATATATTAAAAATATATATTATATTTAAATAAAACATCTAAAAGTTATACCATCGCGCGGATGTTTTACTTCTAACTTTCTTATTCTAATTTTTTATTTTCAATTTCTTTAATTGTTTAATTCTCTGGTACTAATTTGTATAGTTTTAACGAAGCTGGTTTTTTAAATCGCTGGAAAAAAACAGGAAAAAAAGTTTTTTGCGAAAAATTGTTTTTTTTTTAGAAGAATTGTTGTAACTTAAAGAATTACTTAAAAAATATTTTGTTACTTAAAGAAAAAATTTTTAAAAAATATTTTATTTTATTTAAAGAATAAACTATGGTTTCATTTATTTATTTATGTGTGGTATAATTATACACCAATAAGTAAATATTTTTAAATACATATTTTAAACAAGTAAATATTTTCGTTTTTTAGTCAAATTAGTTTATATTAGTAAAAATTTTATGTTTGTTTTTACTTATACTTAAGATTATTATAAATAAATAGAAAAAAGAAACTTTAACGTCAAAGATTGTGAAGTAAAAACATACAAGAATAAGAGTGTTATCATAAACTCAAGTTTTAATAAGTACTTTCAACAGTATAAAAACATTCTCTGTAATAATATAGTGATTACTATATAATTGATATAAAATTGTAATATAATGAAACAAAAATATATAGGATACAAATATAATCAGCCCTTATAGAAATATCATACTAAGAATCATTGATAATTACTTATTTTCAGTATTAAAAATACTAGATAATAAGTAATTATCAATGATTCTTAGTATGATATTTCTATAAGGGAGCTGTCAATCAGTTTGCAAACTCTGTCGACAAAACAACTACAAATTGCGGATACAAAAGACTACAGATTTGTCGACAGGTCATATTCAATCTGTTGTCAGACTGCTAATAGATTGTTTACTGGATTTATTTACTTTCAGTTAAATGTATGTAATTATCTTGTTTATGTAAAGAAACAAATGTGACAGGTTCTAACCAAACATGCATGAATTTTTCTATCATTGGGAAAGGAATCGAAAAAATTCACGAAAAAATAAAAAAAGAAAAATTTATTTTCTGTGTTTTCTTCAAATCTTTACTAATTTGCAAGATGGAATGTCTCTGTTACATTTAACTTTAAAACGTTTTTTTTATTTCCAATACAAATATTTTATGTTAATAAAATTTTATTTTGAAATTAATATGTAAAATATTTAATGCTAAAAATGAAAGAAACGTAAAGAAAGATGTATTTGAATAAAAATTTTGGTTAAAGAAGTATTTATTTTGAATTAATTAAAGAAGTTATAAATTAAGTTTGTGAAAAATTATTGAAAAATATGTTACTTATATATAAATATAATAATTGACACCAATAATCCTCGAAATTATCGAGATTGAATTGATTGAAATAATTTATAATCGTATATGTTAATTAGATAATTTTATTTACTCAAATAGACAGAGAGATATTAAACATAATATACAAACATCTAATGTATATCTTGTGATAATATTATAATAAAACAATATATTTTAAATATGTTTGTTTTAAGAATTACGTACTTATTACATAATTCTAATAAAAATATTTACTTTCTATCACTATAATAATTTTTGCTTTTAAAAAATTTAATCGCTTCTGTTTCCTAGTAAAATAAATAGCTATTTGCACATCAGAATATTGCCGTAATTTTCATAGCATCGGAAGTGACCTCTTTTATACTTTTATACTTTTATTCTTTTATACTTTTATTACTGATAAAATTCTAGTTATATGAAGACACAGTTATGTATATTCGTATTAGTCACTAAGCAGATAATATACTGAAATATGACTATCTATGTTATTACGCACTGATCTACACTGAGCTTCTACTCTTACGTTTCTTTAAGTAGCGACTGATTCATAACTTCACATCGTACAGCCAGTAATAATTAATTGTGATTTCAGGAGAGCGAAAGTGGACATCGTAAGGCCTTAGTGCTGTTACGCATACCACGCGATTACGACCTTGTCCTTGAACTCGATTCGCTGGCTTCACGTAGAAAGTTTATTGCGAAATTGGAGGCGTTCTTGGCGTCACAAAAAAAGCATTTCACACTCACTAAAATCGCGCGGGATATTATGCTTGCAAAAGCGGAAACCAAAGAACGTCGACAAAAGAAGCTCGAACAGGTTTGTTTTTAACCTTTAGAATATTGTTGGTGTATATATTTGATCAATGAAAACCATCGCTGTGGCCTGCGGGTATATATCTGCTCAGAATAGGAACAATTAGATAAATATCGGCCATACCGAGTGTTTAGAGAGCTCCGCGCTGCTCCGTCTTCAAAAGGTTAAGGATATTTCTCTTATAGTATAGTATAGTGTAGTGTATTTACGAATACACCTAAGAATTCATTAGACATTGAATATTTATTTACAGTGAGTCCAAAAAGTCTTCGTACACTAGGAATTCGTACACTTCGTACTAGGAATTTTACAGAAAATAGTTTATTTTTATATGATAATGAATAATAAACAAATAATCGTTTTTACATATGATAAAGTCTCTCTTTCTTAACAATATACCAGAAACGAAACCTATAAATTAATAAATATTATACTCAAAAACGATATAAGAACGAAATATAGTAATTTAGTAATTCGCAGAAAGTGTTCGTACACCAATGATATCGGTGATAAAAACTTATCTTAGGTAAGGAACACATATCGTATGTTTACATTTCTTGTCTATTTATATTTGAGCCTTGTTCGGCTTTATATATTGACGCGAAATTTCACAGTCGTTCTCTACTTGATGAAAATGGGTCGAACAAGAAGCAAGACTACCGCGGACGAAAGACAACTTATTAGACTGTATAATCAATGCAAGTCATTAAATGAAATATCAAAACTGATTGGGAGACCGCGTTCTACAATACAGAATATTATTAACTGCTTTGACAAGACCAGAACAGTAAAAAACAATGCAAGAAGTGGATGCCCGTCTGTCTTGTTGGACAACGACAAACGATTTATCATACGTTAAATTAAAAAAAGATCCGAAAACTAGTGTCCCCATGATAGTTGCGGAATTGCTGAAAAGACAAGTCAACGTCTCTGTAAATACAGTGAGGAACATATTACACAAAGAGGGATATCATGGACGAGTAGCCAGAAAGAAGTATTGGATTAATGAAACCAATCGCAAGAAGTGTTTAGAATTCGCTCGTGAATATCAAACAAAACCTCTAGAATTTTGGAATAAGATCATTTTTATGGTTGAAAGCAAGTTTAACTTATTTGGATCGGACGGGAACCAAAAGGTATGACGTCAGAAAAATGCTGAACTTTAGCCAAAAAATTTGATACCCACTGTAAAACACGGAAGTGGCTCTGTGTTACTTTGGGGCTGCATGAGTGCTTCTGGTGTAGGAAATATTCATTTCATCCATGGTACTATGGATCACAAAGCGTATATAAATATTTTGAAAAATAATCTCCATGCCAGTGCCGAAAAAATGAGGTTCCCAAATGATTTTATATTTCAACAAGATAATAACCCCAAACACACAGCCACAAATACTAAGTTATGGCTCTTTTATAACACATCTAAACAGCTGAAACACCTCCCCAATCAGCTGATTTAAATCTTATAGAACATTTGTTGAGTCTTCTAGAAAATAAAATAAGAAAAAGATATATTTCAAGCAAGAATGACTTAAGACAAGCACTACAAGAGGAGTGGAACTCAATTACAGCATCTGACACATCCAAATTGGTTCATTCTATGTCCAAACGTCTACAAGCTGTTATAAAAGCTAAAAGCTATCATACAAAGTATTAATATGATTTTGTTTTTTCATTTTGCTTTGTTTCTAGTCAGAATATTGTATTGTCGCTTGCGAACGGAAGAACATAGAAGGAAAAGGATGTACTAGGTGGCGGCGGGACGCCGTGCGTTCGAGATCTGCGCATCTTTTCGTTTCAGAGAGAGAAAAATATCGAGAACGCAGTCTTGCTAGGCCGAAACTCGAACCCGGGTCTTTCGCTTGCCGGGCAACTGCTCTAAACCACTGAGCTACCTGACGCTCGACGCTCACGACACTCTCCTCTCCCTAGATAACGCTCAGAGATGCCATTCGCAAGCGACATTCAATTCGAATATTGTACAAACACTTTCTGCGTATTACTAAATCACTATATTTCGTTCTTTTGTCATTTTTGAGTATAATATTTATTAATTTATAAGTTTTATTTATGGTATATTGTTACGAAAGAGAGACTTTATTGTATGTAAAACCGATTATTTGTTTATTACTTATTATTATACGGAGATAAACTATTTTCTGTGAAAATTCCTAGTGTACGAAGACTTTTTGAACTCACTGTAAGTATGATATTATATATAAGAATATATTAACTATTTCTAAAACATGCAATTCACTTTTCTCTTTATAATACATATGTTATAATACATTTTTCTCTTTATAATACATATGCAAACAAATTTAAAAAATTAATTATTATTATATATAAAATAATTATATTTTCGATGATACCGTATATGCGATAAATTTATCTTTAGTTCTTCAGAGAAGCATATGCTTTGACTTTTGGTTTACGGCCCGGCGAACGAAGACGTCGATCGGAAGATAGTGACACTGGTGAAGTCGTTACCGTAATGCGTACATCTCTTTCTAAGAGCGAATTTGCGAGCGCCCTTGGTATGCGACCTGATGCAGTTTTTGTAAAGAAAATGTTCAATATCGTCGATAAAGATGGCGACGGTAGAATTTCCTTCCAGGTATAGGTCATTTTTTGTTTTAATTATTTTTACTATTATACTTTATTTGATCACATATCGTACAGATTGTTTTCGATTTTCAAAATTACAAATTTGATATAAGTTTATATTTATATATTTGTTTATACATTTGTAATAATAATAATAATTGTTATTATATAAAAAGGAGAATTATACAAAATTTATAGAGCAAGAAAATAAAATGTTATTGGGTGTACAACTTAATTCGGTCCGTTTTTTTGCTTGAAAAACGCATTTATTTGAATAATAAAATAAATTAATACATTATTGAAAGTATTGTCCATCGCTAGCCACTACTTTTTTCCATCTTTCTGGCAATTTATGGATTCCGTCGCGGAAGAAGCGTTCATCTTTTGAAGCCAAGAATGAATCGAGCCAATTTTTGATACCCTGTTCTGAAGTGAAGTGTATTCCAGTCAAAGCGTTCTGCATCGATCGAAACAAATGGTAGTCGGAAGGGGCAAGGTCTGGGCTATAAGGCGGGTGAGCCAGAACTTCCCATCCGCTATTTTCCAAATAGTTTTTAACCGGAACAGCAACATGAGGCCGAGCGTTGTCATGGTGAAAGATTATGGACTCGTGTCTGGTCGCATATTCTGGACGTTTTTCGGCTATAGCTCGCTTTAAACGGATCAATTGTCGCCTGTAGAAGTCTCCCGTGATGGTTTGACCAGGTTTTAGCAGCTCATAGTGGATCACACCCTTCTGATCCCACCAAATACAGAGCATTACCTTGGCATCATGGATATTCGGCTTCGGCGTTGATGTTCCCGGTTGGCCGGGCTTTACATACGATTTTTTGCGTTTCGGGTTGTCGTAGTGAATCCATTTTTCGTCCCCGGTAATGATTCGATGCAGAAAAGACTTCTTTTTGTACCGTTCAAGCAACATTTCGGACATGCAAAATCGTCGTTCGATATCTCTCGGTTTCAATTCGTATGGGACCCAATTTCCTTGCTTTTGGATGTATCCCGCGGCTTTGAGCGGTTTCGAAATAGCTTGTTGAGTAACTTCCAATGTTCTTGCGAGCTCTTTTTGCATTTAACACGAATCTTAATCGAGTAATGTTTCTAATTCTTCATCTTCAAACTTTTTCGGTTGACCCGCTCTTTGTCTTCAACACTAAAATCACCACTTTGAAATCGTCGAAACCATTCTCTGCAAGATTTATCCGACGGCGCAGATTCACCATAAACTTCCACAAGCATTCGATGCGCTTCAGCTGCACTTTTCTTCCAATTGAAACAGAAAATCAAAACTTCCCGCAAATGGTGCTTATTTGGAACGAAACTCGACATTTTCAACGCAGTAAAAATTAAACTTGTTGTGGAAAACTCAAAGGCTTGTAAGCAATATTTGGTTGACAGATGTTGACACTTCACGATACAGCAAAAATCAGCTGTCGCCGTCAACCATTTATAGCACCTAGAGCCATCTTTTGTAAACGGACCGAACTAAATTGTACACCTAATACAACGATAATGAATTCCACTACTTACTTGAATTAATATTAAAAAACTTACAATCCCAACGTGAAATGATTTATTGATCGACGATATAAATAATATAGTGTTTAATATAATGAAAGATGAAACTTGTAAAAATTCTAATATTTAAATATTCGAAAAATAAATGATAAATATAAATATCCATGTCATGTTGATTAGACATGTTTTTATTAAACGTAAAAATGTGTAGTGGAAAAAGTAACTAATAGAAACTGGCATTACTAAAGGCATTAATAAATTTCAGGAATTCTTGGACACTGTTTTATTATTTTCTCGCGGTAAAACCGAGGACAAATTGCGCATTATCTTTGACATGTGCGATAAAGACAGCAATGGTGTGATCGATAAAGAGGAATTATCAGAAATGTTAAGATCCCTGGTAGAAATAGCACGTACTACGAGTCTCTCGGATGATCATGTTACAGAACTGATCGACGGCATGTTCCAAGTGTGTCTTCATTATTTGAACATCACGATACTTCTACCAACATATATTAATTAAATCGATCATGGTTTAGGATGCCGGGCTTGAGAGAAAGGACTATCTCACATACAATGATTTCAAATTGATGATGAAAGAATATAAAGGAGACTTCGTCGCAATCGGTCTCGATTGTAAAGGTGCTAAACAGAATTTCCTTGATACATCGACGAATGTTGCGCGTATGACAAGCTTTCATATAGATCAACTACCGCCAGAGGATTCGAAGAGTTGGACGCGTAAACAATGGGACGCTATATCAACATTTCTCGAAGAAAACAGGCAAAATATATTCTACCTCTTTATGTTCTATGTTGTTACCATAGCTCTCTTCGTCGAAAGATTTATACGTAAGTATATGGTCAAACTTAAACAATCCCAGAAAAATAGAAATGCTGAACATAATATACAAATATTTTCTCCCACACAATAATATAACGTCTTAACGACGCCAAAAAATTTTTTAAATTTTCTACATATCTTAAGATATGTCAGAGAGACGTCTTTAAGGGGAGAACTTCGTGTAAATCAGTCGAAAAATAGACACTTTTAAGGATTAAAAAAGAAAAAACTGTCCAATAAAGCTTTTTGAAATTTTTAGTGTATTTAAATGCACACTCAAAGAACTAGAAAACATTTTCTTTGAGCAATAGTAATGGATATTTTGATAGTTAATAGAAGTCGATGTCGGAGACCTCGTTTTTGACGAGATAAACTTGCGTATATTCTAGCGGTCTTAGTTTTAATTTTGCAACAAAAATCCTAAAAGATTTGTTTTTTTGTTAATAAAAATCATGAGGAATGAACTTAAAATTGTTTTACAAAATTGGAAATTTAATAAAAATAAATGACTTCGAAAGGAAAGGTTCAAATTTTACAGAAAATTTTCATCTTAATTGTATGAGAAAAGTTGCTTATATAAATAAAAATTAATTACATATAAGTTCATTCTATTATAAAGTAATAATCTATATGCACGCATAAGCGCAATTGGTTGAATAGTTTTTGAGTTTTGATATACGCAAGTTATGAAAAAGTAGTTTTGAGAAAAATCGCGTTTAAAGTTAACGAAACAAATAAATAACAGTTTTTGGAAACTCACAGCCCTTTTTGATTATTCTGCAATTCTAGCTCCATATAATAGGTTCTCGGTTTCCTCGAAAAATTGGTTTTTTACCATTTGTTTATGTTTACGAGCTATTCGAGCCTTTATGCTGCTACGAGTTTAGCGCTCCTGTCTGCTCAATCGCTTGCTGTCCAATAAATCGGCGTAAGTTTTGTATTGCTGGCCAATTTTAAGTTTTAAAACATCCATTATTTTTAGCACTGCAGAATAGCCCTTGTTAAATATGCTAGCAGCAATATTAGCAACTATTTCTATTATTTAAGTGCCAGCATGTAAGTGCTTGGGAGCTAGTCGCCAGATCATTGCATTTAGATTCTCATTAGTATTCTGTATATGCCCTCCCAAGCATCTCTCGACCACTAAGAAACGTTAAAGTCTATTGTGAAAAAAGGATTAAGTCGAGAAATGGGAGGGGTCCGGCCAAAATGCGTAGGCGGCTCTTATATTTGCGCGCGGCGCAGATATAAACATGTCCGTAATGTCATTAATATTTCGAAATGGGCTCTAAAACTTTAGGATTATATTCTCCATATAACAAGGATTCGATTTAACGAAAAAAAAATCGATTTTTCCGACCAATTACATCCCTTAAGACTACTTTAAGATATTTATATATCAAGAGACGCGGTAGCGTCTCGCACCAAGTGAACACGCGAAGCGAGGAATGGCGTGAGACCCGCCGCGTATAACTTACGTCGACCAACTAGTTCAGTATAGGCAAGATTTCTCGTTCGACTATAACAGTTAATCGGATGAATTTCTGAATAGGCTCTATCGATTTTTTGGGGTCGATTTGCTTAATAAATCTATTTTTATATTTGTCCTACATAGTTCATGAGAGGAGATATTTTAGTGTAAAGTCCGAAATGACAAAATTTTACGATTAAGAAACGTTCTACTACCAGGTATGTAAATATAAAACCGGAATTTTTGTATAGAAAATACACGTTTATTGTATGAAAATGATAAAAAAATATTTTATTCGAAGTATTGCCCATCGCTAGCTATACATTTTTCCCACCTGTCTGACAATTTGTGGATGCCACGTCAAAAAAACTGTTGCTCTTTTGAGGCAAACCAGTCATCGAGCCATTTTCGTATATTTTCGTAAGAAGTGAAGCGCTGCTTAACAAGTGAGTGTCCCATCGATGCGAATAAATAGTAATCGGACGGAGCCAAGTCTGGTGAGTAAGCCGCATGCGAAAGTATAAGGTGTAGTAAAAAGAAATCCATTATTTTTGCATGAAATTGAAGGCTTTATTTAGCATAGTTAGAATGATCCGATTTAGGTCAAATATGCACCGTTTTATTCGATAACTTGTTGCCATTTTGGAGGTAATTCCATTATGCCTCTCTCATAAAAACCCTTGTCCTTATTGGCAAAAAACTGGGACAGTCGATTTTCACAAGCTTCTCTTGAGGCGAATTTTTCACCAGCAAAATCATTCGCCATAGACAGGAACAGGTGGTAATCACTTGGTGCCAG